CCCCCCCCCCGCCGCCCCGCATTTTATGACCTTTCTTTCCATAGTTGTTAAGGGAATAATTGCAGTTGATAAGTTGGTAGCCCAAGTGAATATGGTTCCCCCATCGACTCTGCTTATGAGAAATTTGCAAAAGGGGATCACATGATCTTGGGACAGCAATGGTCATAAGTATGAACCAGCTGCCAAACCTCTGAATTTTGATTACATGATCATGAGGATGCTGTAAAGGTTGTAACTGTGAAAAATGTTCTTTTTTTTTTCTAATACTGTTGTAACTTTGAACAGTCACTACATGAACTGTTGTAAATTGAGGACTACCTGTATATAGGATAGCTAGAGAAATCTGCCAGTGATATTCACAAACACAACTGGGAAAGCTGATTTGGGACCACAGCAATATTGGAAGGCCTTTCCACAGTTCCTCGTTTCCACTCCTCAAATTTTCATCCATTCTTAACACTGCCCAGTAATTCTTTTCTCTGCTCTCAACCTCAGCAGCAAACAGCATCCTATGAGTGAACCCCAAGGGTTGAACAGAGAAATTGGCATCCAATCAGTGCCACACTTCCCATCAAACTTTAAAGTTCTGCCTATTTATTTAAGAATATTTAGGTGACCAGCGTAACCATGGCAGAGACAAGCAAAGGACTACCATGATACTTCAGCGCTGGAATTTTGCCAGGGGTGTTGGGGAGTTGGAATGAAATAAGAATTCCCACCCATCAGAAACTTAAAGCTCAGACACGGTGCAAAATTGAGGCGGCAGAGCCAGAAGTTGTTAATCTCTGCTGTTTAACAAAGAAATTGGTATGTGGCCACAGAGGTTACAGGTAGTCCTCAACATGCAACGAAAATTAAGCCCAAAATTTCCATTGCTAAGCAAAACAATTGTGATTTTTGCTCTTTTTGCAGTCTTTCTTGCCACAATTGTTAAATGAATTAGTGCAGTTGTTAAGTTAGTAACACGATTGTTAAGTGAATCTGGTTTCTCCATTGACTCTGTTTGTCAGAAGATCACAACAGGTGATCGCATGATCCCAGGATGCTGCCTGTGGTTAACACATGCCAGTTGCCAAGCATCCAAATTCTGATCATGCGATCATGGGGATGCTGCAACGGTCACTAATGTGAAAAATTGTCATAAGTTACTTTCTTCAATGCCATTGTAACTTTAAACAATCGTTAAATGAGTGATCGTAAGTCGAGGACTAATTGGATGGCATATCTGGGAATAAGGCAAATGCTGACAGTAGAGGGAGAAAGGTGGCCACTAAGGAGCCCCACTTCATCACAATGAAGTGATGATAAAAACCTAGTTTGCCTTTTTTAAACTGGAATAAAGCTAATTTTTGCTAGCTGAAGGTGAAGAAGTCAGTGCCTTGTTCTTTCTCTCTTAATTTTCAGTACAAGATCGCTGGATTTGCTGCTTGCTCCAGGAATATCCATTTTCTTCTATTCCGCTCTACTTGTAAATCAAATTGATATTATCAGTTGTATTTCATCTGAAAGAAACTCAACATGGACTTTTCAGTACAGAAGAAAAATGCAATCTTATATTTGGCAATCTTGGTTGCAAATGTAAATGAATAATTAGTGTGTGTGTGTTAAAAGGAAACAAATCAGTGCTAACTAAAGTTTAGAATCAATGCATGGAAAACAGAAGACATTAACAAAAAATATGAAAACAGAAGATCAACTGATGGAGAAAGTTTAATATTGAGAAAAAGTAAAATACTTGGAGTATTACTGTGATTGTATATTATTTCAAAATTAATTATGTTCAGACGTGGAATGAAATTAAGGACATCTTAAGATGGGAGAAATTAAAATTGTCACTTTTGGGAAGAATTTCACAAGCAAAATCAATGCTTTGCCTAGAATGTTTTTGCTTCAGACACTATCTGTTTTGACAACTGATATATCATTCAGGCAATAAATATATATATATATATATATATATCTAAATTTGTATGCAAGGGGAAAAACACAATTTATATACAGAGTGCTAACAGGATGCAAAGAAAGGAAAACTGCACAGAAATGGTAAAACTCACGTTAGAATTGCAAGAGAGAGAAGGACTATTATACAGCCTGGAAAAAATGGTATAACTGGTTGGATAATAGGACAATAGGAATAAAAAATATATATAAACAAATAAGTGTGTGTGTGTGTGTGTGTGTAGTTAATAGAAACTGGAAAAGTTGATGTGACAACACTGCAAAGATTGTGTTTGGGTTATTTTGTTGTTGTGTTGCTTTGTATTTGTGTTGTTTTTAACTGTGTAAAATTCAATAAAAATTATTTTCTAGAAAGGAAGAGGATTAGGTTTCCCAGTTTTGAAATTGTGTTTTGGAGCTCTTTTTGCTTTGTTTGGATGAAAGAATGGGTGTTGCTGAGAAAGAAAAGACTTCCAGAGTTAGAAGCACATGACCTAAGTATGGGTGGCATGTATATTTATGCTACAATACAGCTAGTGTGGATTTTAAAAATCATTTCATTTGAAACACCATATTAAGAATATGGAATATGGAATATATATAAACCAAGACTATGCCCCAAAACATCTCTGTGGATATCAGCACAAAAAACATTTTACGTAAGAGAAATAACAAGCAAAGATAAATAGTTAATATACTAAAAATTACTGGAGAGTCAGCAAGGGAAATTTAACATTTAATCAAGACAGCAACTAATGGAGTAGGATGTAGTTGTCAGTGTTTTTCCTGTTTACAATTATCAGAAAGATTTTTAAAAGATAGAAAGACCTGGTATTAAAAAAAAAGGAAGACAGAATTTGAAGTGCAATTGTGTACCAATGATGAACATGTAATTGCTAAAACATGTAAACTTTTCTTGAAATCTGAAATGGAAGAAAAGCAGGTTAAAGAAGGTATGTTAAAGTGAGCTAGTAATATACAGATAGATTCATCTATCAATATATGGTCAAAAAGGTTGAAATTTACATTGTTATGATCTTAAAGATAAATTTTATAAAAATGATGTATTAGGGGTACATATATTAGAGAAATTATCTAGAAGGTATAAAGGCATTTTAAATATATGGAAATGTGAACAATTTGAAGGCACATTTTATCATGTTTGAGATATGTAAAAAAACAACTTTTAAAAAATTGGATTTCAGTATATACAGATTTTAGACATTCAACTGAAGCCAGAACCTTTTCTTATGAGACTGATAAAGGATAAAGGATTTTTAAAAAGCCATGGAAGATTATTTCCATAAATGATTACTATGGCAATTATTATATGTACAAAGTGGAAAGTTTCAGCATTACCCACCATGGAGGAACATCAGATGAAATTGACAGAATTTGCTGAGATGGTGAAATTGGCTTCTTTGATTAGAGAAAGGTCATTATTGACATTCATCAACCGCTGGAAACCAATTATGGATTTTTTTTTTGCATAAAAAAGAAAATGATTTTGTGACTTATGGTTTTGATGATTAAAAAGAATAATGATTATGATGAAATCTTGGAGAGAGGTTTGATTAGAATTGTATGTATTACTGCTGAGAGGAAAATTGGAAGCCATTTTTAATATCTCTTTTCATGTTTTATTTTCTATCTCCTTTTTTCTTTGTCTCTTTTTCTCCTCTCCTTTCTTTTCCTCTTTCACATTTGCTATATCTTTTTTTCTTGAATGTACTTCTTACTATATATGTAAGACCTATTAATAAAAAAGTATTTAAAAAAGAATTTGTGTACTGAAAAATAGCATTACAGCCCATTTCTAGTGAGGGACAAGAAATATTTTCTTATTACAATGATGCTGCTTAATCCAATTTGATGGCAACTGATGAAGTAGATTGCTGTTTGTCAACTTGAGAAGAGAACATGACCCATGCATAAGCCTTGAACTTAAATTTTTAAGAATTATTTTAAATATATGTCTTAGAAATAGATTCCAGATGCCCCGCAGTGAAAGGTATTTCCAATTTAGGCTCTACAGTTTGGGAAATGGCTGCATGGAGATCTGGCTCTAAAGGGCAACATATGGTTTTTAGAGCATGCAGGGGCCCATTTATAGCATCTCTCAGGAACACCTTAAAGTTATTGTGTCTTTTCCTAAATGTGTCAATCTTAAGAAGGAGCGTACCTTGCTTTCAGGAGCTCCTGGCATGCTACACGCGCATTTACAGATACTCTGAATCACATTTGATTTTTTTTCTTTCTAGTTCTCTTCACAGTCCAGTGGGCTATATAGTTAAAAAAAACTCAAGCCTCACTAACTTAAGAGTATGTACTTAGAATAATGCATAATACTTTTGCTTTTAGGTACTCGGTATACTTTAAAAAGTCCATTGAAACATTTCTTTCTGCCTCCCAATTCATCATTTGCTTCTAACCAAGGAGTGTCCCTCCAGTGTCCCTCCTTAGAACCTGGGCCTGATCCACGAAGTCTTACCATCGCTGAGAAACTGAAGCAGGGCCAGATCAATGGGACGTTTCCATTTGGATCCTTTTTGCAGGGCAATGCCATAGCCTGTCGTGGCAAAGACCTTCCCACTTCCAATGGTGACAAGCTTGCAACCTTCTTCCTTGCGGGCCATGTAGTTGAGGACAGCTGCATCATAAATGAAAGCATCCAGCTTCCTACAGAGAGTGGGGGGAAAGCAGGCTGAGATGAGTTGAGGAGAATACAGAGAAGGTGCATGTCAGGGAAGATGGGCTTTAAGGAACTGCACATTCAATTTCTCTCTTTTGAAACCAATGTAAGTATTTGTTCCAAATAAACCGGACACCTGTTTTTAATAGAAGATAATATTTGTACCATCAGTGTTCTGAGTAACACGCCCATTGAAAGCAGAACTCCGAGACAGGTAGATTCCTCAAAGAACATGTTTATTGGATACATATTATTGGCACAGCCAGTGAAAACCAACTCTAAAAGTTCCCGCAGTTTTCACCTAATTAAACGAGTAAAAATCCCCGCTCCCAGGTATTGTCACATTGTCCAATGAATATAGCTGGCAGGCTCCTCTCCTCCATCAACAGCCATCTGTTATGATGACCTTGGTTCCCAGAGGAAAACTTTTTGTTTTGACTATTAGCCAGGCTATGTACTCCCCCCGCCCCTCAGGCTTCATGTCAACTATGAGGCAGCACAAAATGGCTTCACTCAGGTTCGCTTCAGAGTTGGCATGTTGTTCAGGGTTGAACTGTGCTACTCTTGATGCCCTCAGAGCTTGGTTATTTGCTTGCAGATGTTTCATTACCCATCTAGGTAACATCATCACTGTTCGCTCTGATGATGCAACTAGCACTGATAATGTTACCTAGCTGGGTAATGAAAGGTCTGCAAGAAAACAACCAGGCTCAGAGAGCACCAAGAACCCCATACACGTATTTGAATCTTGAAATAATACAATTTTCTTGGAGTAACCCAACAGCTTAAAAGTAAGTTGGTTTGATAGATGCATAGAAAGATGCAGAGTTGTTCTGCTAAGAGGCAAAATGTGGCTAGTTTGGATTAGCTAACTGAAAGGAAACATATCTATAGATGGCTGGAAGGAAGAAGCTAGGAAATAATCTAGCCATCTACTTTACTCCACCTTAATCCTCAATCTATATCAATAAACAGCATGCAGAAATATTATTTATTCATTTGTATCCCACCTTTACTTTTTATTTATTTGTATTCCATCTTTATTATTTTTATAAATAACTCAAGGTGGCAAACACATCCAACATACTTTCTTCTTCCTATTTTCCTCACAACAATGCTATGAGGTGATTTCAGCTGAGAGTGAATGACTGGCCCAAAGTCACCTAGCTGCTTTCATGTTTAAGGCGGAATTGGAAATCAAGGCCTCCCACTTTCTAGCCTGGTGCCCTTAACTACTAAACTGGCCCTTTATGACTAATTAATATACCTAAAACAGTAAAAAAAATAGGCAGAGATTTAAAGCACTAGGAATACAATTCATAAGCCAATAAGAAAAAGTTATTTATTGTTAGAATAAATACTGTTCTTCACCTTGTTCTTCATTATTCCCTCAATTTGATCGATTCACTGGTGTAGATAGATAGATAGATAGATAGATAGATAGATAGATAGATAGATAGACAGACAGATGTAGATAGATAGAGATAGATAGCCTGGTGTTCTTATTACAGTGAACTTTCTATAGGGCCAGGCTGGGGAGATGTCTACAGTTCTGCTTCCTTCTAAAGAGACTAACCTTAGCAATTTTAAGATGTGTGGACTTCAACTTTGAGAATATCCCAACCAGAAATGAGAAGAGTGGGGTATTCTGGGAGCTGAAGTCCACACATTTTAAAATCGCTAAGATTAGAAACACTATTCAACAATATTTTTGCACATCACAACAATATTGTGATGCCTGGAACCAACTCTGAATTTGAAGTTGGGATGGTGGTGGTGGTGGTGATAGAAATGCTACTGGGCTGCAAACAAAATCAAAAGAAGTCTGCACAAATTTAAAAAGCAATACAAATAATAAAATATAACAAATTTCCTTCATGATAAAATTCACATTTAACTAAACTAGTGAGACTAATGTATGTGTGTGAGTGTTCATAATTTTCTGTAGAATCATGGGGTAGTGTTAATCTGTCTTAATTAGCAGCATATATGAATGTGATCTTGGTATATAGGATTAAATAGTAAATCATATATTTATAATAACCCAGCCAGTTGGCTTTTTAAATTGATAGCAGGCTTGACAGCTGTTCCAATAGCTATGAAGACCCTACCCATATGTCTGCTCAAAGGAGGCTGACTGAGCTATAATCCCTCTTTTATTGTGAAAATTAATATTTAAGTTGCAAAACATTCATATATGAAAAACTCCGATATAAACCCCTCATAGCAGTTTTACTAAAAGCATAATGCTGCACAATTCCTTTAGCAATCGGGTAGGGCTTGTTTTATTTATTTTCTTTCAAAAAGAAATCAGCCAGAATTTATAGACATTCAGAGAAAATGCCGTTGTGACGAACAGTAGGAAGCCTGTTTAGTAGTAGGCACAGTTGGACTAACATGTATTCATTGCAAGACTCAAGAAAGTTAAACCCAGATTTATTTATTTCTTTAAACATAAATACAGACTTACTCCTAGGTATGTTCTATATTCAGGAGATTTGTGGAGACACTTGGTTGAATTAAAAAAATTCAGAATATTTTGATTGTCCCAAAGCAACCATTTAGCATTGATAAAAATAGTAAGAGCCAGTCAAGTATAGTGAAGATAGGGGGCTAGAAACTAGGAGATTATAAATTCTAGTCCCGCTTTAAGCATGAAAGTTGGCTGGGTGATTTCAGGCCAATCAATAGGAGACTGTGAGTTCTAGTCCCGCCTTAGGCATACAAGCCAGCTGGGTAATTTTGAGGAAAGTCACTCTTTTTCAGCCCAACTCACCTCACATAGTGATTGTTGTGGAGAAAATTGGAGAAGAGAGGGGTAATATATATGTTCACCACCTTGAGTTACTTATAAAGCAATAAAGCCAAGGTAAAAATCTAATTAATAAATAAACCAGGTTTTAATATTTTTAGTTTTTAAATAATACAAATCCTTGAAGACAGTCCTCTTATATGGGACGAACCCATTTAAGAAGTTGTTTTCTCTATCCCAATTGTGCATGCTCTGAAAATAAAATATATATTTTTTTGCCTTTAGAGCTTCTTTTTCTTAAGAGTCTTTCAACCGAATCACTGATTAATTGACCAAAACTCATGTTATTAACTTGACTAAGATTTATTTAATAAAAACTAATTAATAAACTTGTGTTACAAGGTCACAAAATAATATGGGTGTGAGAGTCAGCCATGTCACCAGGCACATCCAACAGTCACCCATGACACTTGCTTAATCAAATGTCACACTGTAATCGCCACAGCAATTAATATTCCTTTGCAGCTGTGAGTTGCATAGGCAGGGGGAAAACACGGTCCCTTTTTCAGGGTGTATAACTGCACTCAAATGCAGCCAGCTAGTAGAGAGAATCATCTAAAACTTGCTAGAAAGTGTTTGCTGGTAAGACCTTCAGATGTTACACCTGTAGGAAAAGAGCAGGCAGGCCCTGGAGGTGGAGTCAAGTGGGTAATTAGCCTAGAGTCCTTAAGATCCTTCAAAGTCTCTTGATTTCCATTAGCTTTTATCTAGCAGCAATTTAGCAGCAGTTTAGTTGACTAGATTCTTATGAATAGGCAGGATCAATAAATCAACTTAATGTGTGGTCCTGATTCTTTGTACCTGACAACACTAGCTGGAATGTGAGTAACCACAGACCATCTACTCTAGATCACAGGAGACAGTATTAAAATTGGAGTAGCTAAATGAAGACATGGGGGGGAGGGGAATAACAATCTTGTCTTCCTTCCCCATTCTCCCAATGTTATGCTGGTCTTTCCTGCCATCCCCCCTTTACTTACCCTGTCTGCAGATTTTGAAGTGCATCTTCCACACTGCGCTGGTTGTACTTCCCCATATATTCATGCATTTCTCCATAGTTGTTCCGAATATTTTTTTCGGTGCTACCATTAGGAACTGTGCCAAATCTCAATGGAGGATAATGGTGCTGGGGTCTCTGAAACTGGAGAGTAGACAAATGAAACTGGCATTGCCAGCCCATCCTTAGAAATGGAAACACACTCAGGAAAAAAGAGACTAATCCTATCAGAAAGGTTTGGAAGCTTCTGTGTTTTGGCTGAGTGAAATACATGATGTTTGGCTAGCTCTGATTACAATAGAAAACATATCCAAAATTAAGATTTCTAGATATCAGGAGATTCCTGCTATGTCAGGGGGTCAGGTAAGCCTACAGCTGGCTGGCTGGCTTGTTGGCTGGAAAGTTGGCATCCCAGGTTCAAGACCTGAGCACCACCTGACAGGTTGAGCTCCTGACACCTTGCTTCAGCTTCTGCCATCCTAGCAGTTCGAAACCATGCAAATAGAAGTAGATACAGTAAATAGGTACCACTCCAGTGGGAAGGTACCAGTTCTGTGACATCATGATGTCCATATGTCTACAGAATTGTTTTTGGACAATGCTGGCTCAATGGTTTTGAAATGGAGGTAAGCATCGCCCCTTTAAATTGGACACAACTAGTGGAAGTAAGAATCCACAGGCACTTCTTTACCTTTTTGAAATATATAATATACAATATTATTTATATAGTGATCTAATCTCTCTAATCTTTATATTCTACTCTAACAAAAGGACTTTGAAAGTTAGAAAGAATGTTGAGAAATATTGGCTATCAGGAAGTATTGTTCCAAGGATATAGTCATAGAATTTCTCTTTTTAATTTTTCTGGCAATCCAGGTGAATGATGTTAGTATTTCTTGAAAGCATATCTGAGAATAAGTCTCAGGGGCTCCTCACTTGTCATATATAAGCAGGTATAACTGAGCTCCAATATCATTTTGTAATTAAAAACAGCTTTGGGAAAGAGGCTTTCAGAATCAAGAACATGAGGCCAAATAAGCTTTTGTACCCCCTTAGCAGAAAAAAACCACCATAGATGTGCAATTCTAAGTCACATAGTAACAGTCAGGAAGAAAGAAAGATAAACACTGTTGATTGCATTTCACTGCTCTAAATATTATTTTTTGAATCTACCTTGTATTTCATAATGACTCTCCATGTCAGTTTCATGTAACTCAACTGATTATTAACCCTACAGGTTGTAATCAATTACCAGGTTTACAAGTTGGGTGTTTAAAAGTTAAGAACACTTATGAAAGTGGTACCCAGGAAAAGCCTAGACTGGTCCTGAATTCTGCAGGTAGTTTGAGACTGCACAAAATTTATGCAAAGCTTTTCGAGGCTGATTTTCTCTCTCTCTGATTTTCTCTCTCTCTGATTTTCTCTCTCCCTCCCTCCCTCTCTCTCCAGATACTTAGATATATGCATTTAAACTCAAATGACATAGATACATACCACACACGCATACATTTAAACTCAGCCTACATGCATGCATATATTTAAACTTGATACATACATACATTTAAACTCAAGTTACATATACACATTTAAACTCAACATACATGCATACATGCATAGTCTAGGGCGTGTCAAGTTTTTCAACTTTCAATTTCCAAACACTAGGGGTGCTCAAAAGTTGTGACATGCCTTGGGGATTGTAAAGATATTTTGGTTACTTTAATTTAGGTGTGCTTGGTAGGTAAGTACATAAATATCATAACTTTTTAACATTTTGTTTCATTTGCATACTGTACATACATTTAAATAGTGTAGATACATACATATATTTACATAAGATACATACATACTGTTGATGCATAGATCTAAATTCAACATGCATACATTTAAACAAGAAGCATGCTATATATTATATATACGTACATTTAAACTCAACATACATGCATAAATATAAACTCAAGATGCATACATACATGCATTTAAACTCAAGGCACTTATATACCCGTATTTAAATTCTGGGGTGAAGAGTTAACTTTGTCTTTTATGCAAAGGAAGGAGAGCAAATAATTTAGAAAGCCGACTGCAAACAGGAGATGGGCCTATGGGTGGAAGCAAGGCCTCCAATGGCCTCGGAAATAGATCGACACCATGGAAAGATAATTCTGGATACAAAAGGATTCAGCAGTTGTCAGAAAATGATTGTTGACAGAGAGGTGCACAGAGATCAGCAATACGGAAATAGACTGGGACACATTTAGAAGGATCAAGGGTAGGGACAGCCTATTTGTTCTCTTCTAAGTGAGGGCTTCAGAAAACTAGAGAAAAACATCCTTGTCACATTTCAAGCCTCATCAGATTGGTTGCTTGTAACAAACTGCTGTTCCTGGGAGCCCTCAGACCCTTCTTCAGCATGGCGCAGGTAAGGAGGAAGCGGCCAATTTAAAACCCATCCCTAGTCAGGAACAAAAGTCAGAGCTTCAGCGCTCTGAAAGGATTGATTCCTCTAAATGAGGATCATAGTAAAAGGCAACTTGTGGGCAAAATGGCTGAGGAGCCATTACAGCAGGGGTGGAGAACCATGGCCCTTTTATGGCTTCAATTCAGTTCAAAGCCTTTATTGTCATTGTGCATCATGGATACAACGAAAGTGTTTTAGCCTCTACTGGTGCAGTCCATACAAGAATACAAGACAACATGACTAATATAAAGCAGAGGCCCCCAAACTTGGCAACTTTAAGACTTGTGGATTTCAACTCCCAGAATTCTTCAGCCAGCTATGCTGGGAGTTGAAGTCCACAAGTCTTAAAGTTGCCAAGTTTGGGGACCTCTGATATAAAGAATCATTCTTATACAAGCGGTTAGGGGGGAAAACTAGTCATATGTTTCCATATGTACAACATATTCTGTGCAACATGTATATTATTCTGGTATGTGATCCTATATCATGGTATATACATATTACACACCACACTGGCACCAGTGAAATTCATCATATTAATCTGTTTGTGGTGCTATATTGTGTTTAGGAGTCTGACAGCCCATGGGTAGAAGCTGTTTTTAAACCTGTTGGTCTGGCTGGCTCTACTTCTGTGTCTTCTGCCTGATGGTAAAAGTGAAAAGAGACACTGGCCAAGGTGTGAATCATTCCTAAGTATCTTCCTGGCGATGCCATCCAGTGGTGTTAGAGGGCAACCGATGATTTCTTGTGCTGAATTAATCACGCTCTGAAGTGCCTTCCTGTCTGCAGCTATTAAACCGGTGTACCATACTTATGGACTTCAACACTCAGAATTCTTGAATCAGCCATGCTGGCTCAGGAATTCTAGGTCCACATGTCATAAAAGGGCCATAGTTCCCCAGCCTTGGATTAGAGAAAGAAATGTCTCCAGAGAATGCTGGAAAGGAATATAGGAGGTGAGCAGGGATTATCTGGAGTTTGACAGAGCTGTGGATATAATCAAGGAAGAAGGGGTGGAAAGGAATAGAGAAAGAACCAATGGAGGTAAGAATATATGACCAGAGAAGGTGGCAGGATGCAGAGATGGAGAAAGGTTTGTGACTAAGAACATGAAGAGATTTGTGATACCTTCGAGATGTACTGGCTTGTTAGGTTTTATGGACTGCACAGCTTTGTCAGAGAAACAAAGGCAAGGTTTCTGTTTTAATAGGCAGTAATGCTGGAGAAGTTTTATCCTTCAAGAGCCACATGTGGTAGGGTCACAGACCAGTAAATACTGGGGTTGGAGCCAAAGGGAGGGGAAAAGAAGAATTTTCCCCTTTTTCCTTCTTTTATTGCCCCAGCCACCTCTGCCTTTCACTTCTGGAGAGGAGCACATTTCTCTTGATCATACTCTGAGCTGAAGGCTTGCTGGGGGCTTTGAAATGAGGCCAGAGGATTGAGACCTCAGTTTGCCCATGGCCATGTAAGAACAAAATCCGGTGCCTTTCACCACGGCAAGCTGCAGAAGAGTCATGCTACTCTAGCATCTCCAATTTTATCTGTTTGTTTCTAGCTGCTACTAAAAGATTCTTCGCTGTGGTGTTGTAAGACATTAACAGGCCTCTGCTGTGGAATTTTACACCACTAAATCTGCAGTCCCAGATATGCCTGCCAAGGCAAAAAGCTACCCGGCTCCGTGTGGCTTAATTCAGAGTATGAAATCTATCCAGCAATGCCCATTTCAAGCATATTTTGCAAAACTTTCCTTTCTCTGCTTCCAATTACCAACTTTCCCCCCCTCCTCACCCAGTGTGATTTTGTTAAAATGAGCTGTTTAATATTTATCTGAGATTGCGTTTCTTGTTGGACATTAATTATGTCTATTAATTACACCCCAGCTTGTTAGCTCTTAACGAAAGGGATTCAATGGGAGCTGGGCTGCCATGCCACAGCTGGTCCAATTTGTGTGGCCCCCTCCTTCCCACAGCTGTGGTTGTTCGTCAGGGGCTAATTACCAGGCGATAATCAGCCACGTCCTGGTTTATAAATACATCCAATCCATGCTGGGTACCAACAAGGCTTCCGGTGGAGGGCCCTGTGGAGCTACTAAATGTGACAAATGAGTCCAACAGCTTGTCCATCTCCCATAACTTGGAATGCTCCAAAGGTACTGGAATTCAGTCCCCATGCTGGAAGGAAGGATAGGAGTTGAAGTCTAAAGCATTTGAAGGCATCAGCTTGGAAAATACACCTGCTATTTACACTTTAATAAACAATGGGGAGCCAGATCCTTTGCTTCCTTCCATCCAGTCTGTCAGGTTTGTCATTTTTAATCTTTTATTGTAATTTCTTTGTTTATTCTGAGCCAACTAGTGTCACTGCAATCAAGCTACATACAAATTTAATACATTTTAATTATTATATCCATGAAACCACTCTCTCTTTGTGTGTGTGTGTGTGTGTGTGTGTGTCTCAGATTGCAAAATATAATCTCTATGTCTGAAATTAGAAGCACTTAACAACCACTTGTTCAATGGCCATTCTAACTTGCACTTGAATGAGTAGTACTTATGATCAGTCCTAGATGTTTTAGCTCTTAGAGCATCCCTGCATTGGTCACCTAGTTGCCATTTGAGACTCCTTTGTTAATTTCCTACAAGCAAAGTCAATGGGGAGGCTGGCAGGAGATCACAAATAATAACTTGGAATTTGCATGGAATTGCTTAATTACACCAGGAGGTGCTGAATGCTGCCATTGCGAAGCAAGATGGCCATAAAATGACCACATTGTTTAGCTGGTCACAATCGCTGTTGTTAGCTGAGGACTACCTGTATTGGCTACTGAGATGCCTTCTCATGAGACAGATAGGAGGGTATAATATTTTTAAAATACAAAACCATGTTGGATTTGTAGCAGATGTAGAGTTGGAGCTCTTCCTTTTTCAGATAGCCATGATGTCAGAGCTTCTTCTGACTCTCCAAAGGAAAGATTACTGAATTCAAGATAGCACATGCTGGGTAGTACAAACTATAATATGATGAACACATATGCTTTCTATACAGGAGGTCTGAAATTCAATATCATCAAGGTCTTTGCAAATAGTTCTCCAACAATCATAAACTTCATAACTTTCTGGTATTTTGTAATGGGAAACAAAAATCTTTATAGATCCCCACTCCCTGTCTTATTCAGGATAATTCCATCTTCTTTTTGACTGACATTTCCTGAGCCACTCTTTAGAATAGAGAGCAAGTTTTCCCTTTCCTGAGCTGGCCTGATCACAGCCAGGTACATCTTCTTAAACACTATTTAAAATAACCCTTGCAAAGTCTGAATGGCTCAATCAAAGGAAGGCTATTTTGGAAGACAAGCTGCTTTGCAAGACAATTCACAGAGCTCAGTTCTAAGACAATGTAAGCAGACTATGTAAAAAAAAAAATCCTGGGCTTCTTCAGAAAATGTTACATGGAAATGGACAGTGAAGAAAAACAAAGGTGCAACCCTTCTCTTAATGTTAAACTATATCAGTAGCATACCTCTCCCTGATGTTTAAGTTAGTCAAATATCAGAGCAATGGACTAGACAAGGAAATTTCAATCGCTAGAACCATCATTTCCATCTCACTTTTAAAAATAACAAGAGTTGTCAATCCTTTTAACTGATGGAAGGTCAAGTTTTGTTCCCTGGTATCTAGTTTTATTTTAACGAAAGCCAAACAGTTTTAAGGATGAAGGAGAGGGGAAAAGTCCAAGAAATGAGGAAGGTGACATGGAATCAATGCAACTGTGAATATAAATCTGTCTGGACTCTGGTGATTGAAGACCAAGCAGATGAGTAGGTCTACATTTTTTTTCCTCACGAACCCCATTGCCCATCCTCTTCTTCTCACCTTCTGGTCACTCAGCCCAGACACCGTGTCAACATACTCCTCCTGGATCATAAAGGCAGCCAGGTTGGCTGTGTAGCTGGCAAGGAAGATTACGGCAAAGAATGCCCAGATCAGCACCATGATCTTGCTGGTGGTGCCTCTGGGGTTCTCCACAGGCACAGAATTATTAAACACCAATGCCCAAAGCAACCAGATTGATTTTCCAATGGTGAACTTGGAGCCTCCAGTGCCTGGAAATCAGAGGGGGGGATGGGAGGAGAAAACAACTTTCAAAAACTAACCCGACCTAGGAAAGCTTGAAAACCAGTAAGACGTGCTGCTTGACTTCCTCAAATTTCCACTCTCTCTCTCCCTGAAAACTCACGTTTGCTGTTGCTGAGGCTGCGGTTGTAGCCCACCGGGCTGAAATATTCGAAGATGAAGACAGTCACTGCAACGACCGTCAGGCACATGACAAACATCATCACCCAAACAGCAGGGCTGTAAGGCTCTGTGGGAAAAGAAATGGGGGGTGGGTGCCCAACTGACGTTAAAAAAAAATCCCCTCTCTCCTTCATGAATTAAGATGCTCACCTCAACTCTTCATTTTCCAGCCTCCAAGTCAGCTTACTGATACCAAATTAAAGATGGTAACAAAAAATTCAAGATATGAGCTCATTAGTTAGAACAATTAATCAGTGGAATGACATGGCCTCCAACACTGGATGTTTTTAAGAAGAGATTAGACAACCATTTCTTGCTTGAGCAAGGGGTTGGACTAGAAGACCTCCAAGGCCCCAGCTTTGTTCTTCTGTTATTGAATCAACCAGCCAATCAATTAATCATTCAGAATAGAGCTGGAAGGGGCCTTGGAGGACTTCTAGTCCAACCCCTCCCTCCTCACGCAGGAGGCCCCATACCATTTCAGATAGGTGAGTGTTGAAGCCCCTACCACCTCTGAAGGCAACTTCTGTCCCACTGGTTAATTGTCCACACTTTTAGGAAGTTTCTCCTTAATTCCAGGTTGCATCTCTCCTGAATTAATTTCCATCCAAGGTTTCTTTTTCTTGCCTTCGGTGCTTTCCCTGAGACTGGCTAAGCCCTTGTTCTGAAATCAGCGAATGTTACCCTGGCGAGTTTAAGGACCTTGCATCTAATTCTAGTGCAGTTTTCAGAATAAGACTGACCCGGAAAGCTCTTTGTCCATCAGTCACCCCCCCTTGCCCCCCCCCACCCCCAAAGCTTTTCCCTTTGCTCAAATCTCGTCCTGATCATTCACCTAGGAAGGCAGAAGGTGAAACCGTTCCATTGCTACGGGACACCATGACACTGATGCCTGTCTCGACGAAGGGCACAGAGAAATCTATGACTTCAGCTCTTTCTGCATTGATGGTCAGGGATCCAATTGCCATGTCAGCTCGCTTGTAAAACACCTGATGGAGAAACAGACAGGATGAGAGAGTGGGTTTATTTTTCTGTGGCAGGAGACAAATAAACATCCGGAGATTTGTGAGCCAGATGAGAAGATTAATGCTGCCTAAGGCATAATATGTTAAGGAGCAGGAATATATAGTTTTAAGGGGCAGGGGCAGCTTTCCCATAAGCTGTGATGAAGTTTAGATGAGCAATCACTGTCAATGAACTGTTAAGATAGCCCCTTTCTTCCATACAGTACCCAGAAAGCTCTATAGGTAGTCCTTGACTTATGACCCTGGATTGCGATCCGAATTTCTGTTGCTATGCAAGGTGGTTAAATGAGTCACGCCCAATTTTACAATCTTTTTTACCGTGCTTGTAAAGCAAACCGCTGCAATCGTTAATTAGACAGTTGTGGTGCAAATCCGGCTTCCACCACTGAATTTGTTCGTTGGAAACTGGCTGAGGAAGTCACAAATGGTCACCATTTGACCCCAGGAAGTTGCAACCATAGTAAATATATGCCGGTTTGCCAACCGCCCCGATTTTAATCATGTCACCCTGGGGATATTGTGATTGTTGTAAGTGTAAAGAGGAATATTACTCACCTTTTCCAGTGCCATTTTAACTTTGCATGGATGCTAAACGAATGAAGGGTTACCATATAGAAGGACTTAAGAGCCAAGAAGAGCAAGAATGGCTAGTGTTTAGGAAGAGGTCAGAACAGGAATAACGGGCATTTCTAAGATTTTGTGTGGAAATCGAAGCCCCTGGTTCTTCAATTACCTCTCCAATCATGCCGTTCCACATGCCATTGACTTTTTTCCCATGTTTGCCATTGGTGACAAGGTAGAGGTCATAGGTGAATCCCAGAGTTTTCGCCAAACGCTTCAAGATGTCGATGCAAAACCCCTTACAACATCTCTTCTTTAACTGATTGCTGTGAACAGTGCAAGGAAAGGAAAAAGGAACCCAGCAGATAATTTAGGAACACCACAGAAAGTAAATAAGAACCAGCGTGGCATTGTGGTTAGTGTGGAACTCGACTTCTCACCAGTTCATTGGCTGGGACTTTGGGGAAGCCATCTGAGTAACTTTGGGCCAATCACCAGGACACTGTGAGGTCTAGTCCCACCTTAGCATGAAAGCTGGCAGAGTGACTTTGGGCCAGTCACTCTCTATCAGCCCAATCCACCTCACAGGGTTGTTGTTGTGAGGAATATAGGAAGAGGGAGAGGGATTAGTACTTTCACTGCCTAGAATTATTTATAAAAATATGAAGTGGGATACAAATAAATAAAAATGATTTTTAAAACGGAGCTAGGAAAGATAGTAACATCGACCAGTCCAAGAAAAAGGTGGAATCTAACTGGAATCATGTACATAAGCTCCATGAGTGCTCTCATATTTTTCAGGAAGAACAGGATTAAAATCTAACAATAATTTCCCATGCTTGTGAGAACCCTTCTCAAGGATATAGCAAATACCTGTCAGTGTGGTTGAGAGGGTGATGGCAGGGCACTGAGTCACGGATACAAGTCTTGGTGGCAGGATCAATGTCATCCACAATTACAAAGGGCCTTTCCTCCAAAGTTGCCACCATCAAGTGCTTGTTGTCATCCACAGGTTGCAGGAACTTCCTATAGCGTGACATACTCAGGATTCGTCGCTCCCACCTTCCCACCTGCCTCCCAAGGTGAAGAGAAGAGATTAGATACGTCCCCAATCTCTATAGTCCTGCCAGGCCCCTAACGCGATACCAAATTCATTCAACATACGAGAATTGTTTCAATCCATCAAAACGGACAGACATTTCTTTTGAAAAAGTGCTCCCAAATTCAGCTTCTTATATTACGTTTTGAATTTTCCCAACAACCCCTTTCCCTTAAAATCTCACTCGTCCTTCAGCTAGTATCCTTTAGGAACATCTGACTAAGACAGAGGTAAAAATATTGGGTAGACAAGAAACATGTCTTCTGGCATCGTTCAGGGGTTTAGCTTGGCCGAGTGTCCAGCCTCAGCAATTTCCAAAGCTGGAGTCAGGACTGTATACATTAGCCCATTACATTTTTCTATTGGCCAGAAGCCATTTAATGGTTATAAAATCTGGTTTGGTTTAGCTTGTTTATGTAATTAAAAGTTCTCTGGTCTCTTATCTGTATGGAACTCAGATGTGACAGGGACAGAATGGAGACCAGAAGGCACACTCTCCACTTCTAGTCCTCAGATGATTCCAGAAACTTACTCCAACTCCAAATTCACATGTACCATATTTTCCACAAGGTCACCTTCACTCCATATTACTTCTCTAAACCTTCCTGCCCTCCAGCTATTTTTCTTGCCAACCTACAGCTCATTCCCCTCTTTGCCCCCTCAAACTCACCTCTTCCCAAGTCCGATGTTTGCTAAGTGAGATTACAGCCAAAGATGGATTGATCAGGTAGCCGTCCTCATTAAAAGAAAAGTCCTTGTCACCCCATGTGACATTCATGAAATATCTGTGTGAAAAGACAGAAGAGAAGCTCTTTGGATGACCTCAATCTGTGTTTTTAACCCTTACCTTCTCTCCTGTCCCCAGGCCTGACCCCAAAGACTTTTTTATCCAATGTCTGAGACAAAACACTTGGGAAGATGTGGACTAGGCTTCTACAAGAAACCAAGAAAAGAAAAAGGCGATTTTGAGTAGAGATGGATGACATGTGGGAGGAATTCGATTTGCGAATACAAGGTGGAACAGGTAAAATTGAAGAGTGAAAAGAAACACTCTGACCTCTGTAGAAAAGCTAGCTGATTTTTGCCCTCTCCCAACTAAATCTTAGCAACTTTTCCCACTAATAAACTAGGATATTCTCTATCCACTTTAGAAGCAATGCAAAATAACATCAGCATTCAATTTGCTGTCCCTCTCACGCCTTTCTTCCATCTGTTCCACCTAGTGGTCAAATGGTTTTGTCTTGATTTGTGAATGTGCCACTCATTATAGACCATATGTGTTGTCTTCCTGTCCAGGTTCTGCATCTATTATCCTCTTTCTTTTCCCTTATTATTGGCCAATGGGAAAAACATAAACTGTCATGGGGTCTGGCTTCAAGATTCTCCCTGTCTTTTCTCCAGTGGTGCATTTCTTCTTCATTTGAATATCTTCAAGTAAAAATAATGTGAAATGAAGAAGGTCCAGAGGAGCAAATCAGATCAGAGAAGAAGGAGAGTGGTCCTAACCTTTTTCTGTACCCTAGCTTAAATTAGAATGGCAGTAATCAAGCAATGCTTGTAATCAAACAACCAAAGCCACTTCAACATCCCTTATTCTGAAGATTTACAAGGAGGAATATTAGAATGCTGGTTCTGAAAGTAAAAATACAGTTTGGAATACCATAATGCAAGCAGTATTGTAGTGCCAAGGAGGAAATATAGTATGACTATGCTCAAAGACATAACAGACTAACAGAATTAGACTCCAGATGATTAGATACAGCGGTAGTCCATTCAGGTTTATGCCATATGTAAATGTATAGCAATATCACCTAGCACTTCACAGAGCTTTAGAGCCCTAAGCAGTTTACACAATAAGCATATTACCCCCAACCTGGCTCCTCATTTTTACTAACTTTGGAAGGATGGAAGGCAGAGTCAACCTTGAGTGGGTAAGACCCAAACTGCCAAACTGCTGGAGCTGGTGATCAGCAGAAGTAGCCTGCAGTACCGGATTCTAACCACTGTGCCACTGTGGCTCTTAATCTATGCATGATGCAAGACTTTTTATTGCTTAAATGATGGTCCTCCTCCAATTGTCTTGGATACAACACAATCTTATGCCAGTTGGGAAAGGCAAAAGCTGGATCCAACACACCTGGGAGGCATCAGATTGTAGAATTAAATGGGTGGGATGATGTGCAAATCAAAAAAAGGATGCAAGTGGAGAAAAGGGCACAGGGTGGGAACAGGTCAGAATTGTTCATGGACAGGAACAGTAGATCTCTCTTGATTGCACCACCCTCCCACCTAAAATGCCCTCCCGAGCCTCTTTCCCTGCTAACCGATGTAGATTCTCGTTGAATTGGGTGAGATTGGGTGCCCGGCAGTCACTGTTGAATTTTGGAATCGAGCCGTAGACTTGGAAGAGGGCCTCAGCGCCTTTGGCAATTATGGCCACACCGTTTTGTACTCTATGGTAAAGATCATCTTTCCATCCTGCTGAAAGCACCATGAAGAGACCCTCGGGCAGTTCCTCAGGCAGATAAGCAGTTCTACCAAAGTTGGCACCTGCCATGAACCAAATATACCCAGGACCAGTAAGTTTGACTTCGCGAGCAGCACGAAAGATGCTTTCTGCTTCTTCACGGGAACAGTAGAGAAGGCAAATACGGGCATTTATTTCTCGGAGCTGGCGTTTCAGGCGGGCTCCATCTGGGTCATCGGTGAGGTTAAGGGTCACAGTGCTGCGGCGCTCCCAACCAATGAAGCTGCTATCAGTCAGGACCTCAATGTAATCTACAAAATCTTCATAGCCAGGAAACAGAGTAGTAATGACGGCAAATGCTGTCCAGTCATATTGTTCCAGGACCTCAAACATCACCTGCAACTGTTGTTTGGTTGAGGAACCAAGCTGCAGGAATGTTGATCCTTTCTCCTGGATTTTAGAAGGGACAAAAGTGATCAGGCTGAAAAGCAGAAATGGTTTTATATATTTATTTATTTGTTTGTAAAATTTATTGGCCGCCCACTTTATCACAGGATAACTCTGGTCAGCTTGCAATCTTAAAATGAGTTTTCCACTCATTTTCCATCCAGATTCAAATAAATCATACAACTTTCCAAATGTTTTCAATTGAGGAGGTGAAAGTTTCAGTTTTAAGTTCTGCTTTCAACCCAGCCCACCCCAGCAACTTGTCTTTCACAAAAATAATTCTCAAAGTTTTTATAAACAGAATTAGACCATCTTGTTAGATTTACTAACTCCTAACTGTAACTGAAAATAAAAATGTAGTATAATTCTATTATAACTTGGTAATATTGATATTTTCAGTTATGTTATTATTTCTTAATCTCTATCATATCCCCTCCTCCTTCTACACACATTTCTGTACACTTAACACTTAAGTGCCCCTTTTCTGAATTGTTTGTCTGTTGAGTAAGCAGATTTCTGCTACGTGACCGAGCTTCCATGTATCTTCAGGTAGAAGAATAAGCACAGGAAGTTATGTTACCTTGGGAGTAAGAACAATGGCTGATCCTCCATTGATACCAATGATTGGAACTGAGGTCTGTGCTGAGATGAAGTCCAGAATCTGGGCAACGTCCTCTGTTCGTGTATCATCCTCAAAAACGACTCCATGGATATGCAAGGAGGAGAGGACATCACAGAGCCGTACGATTAGGCTACGAGGATTAGTGTCGTTCAGAACGACAGGGATGGGGTTGATCTCCATGGAGAAATTGCGAAAATCCTCAGGTGAGAACCGGGCACTTTCTGGTGTGTAGGTTGAGCCACTGAAAATAATGGGAATGTTGATGGTTCGTCGCCGTAGGTCCAGGAAAGGGCTGGCGCAGGCCAGAGCCATAACAAAGAGCATCCTAGCAGCGGGGGTGCCCGGGGGCAGGCTCATCTCGCAGGATCTCTATGTTCCCCCTGTAGTAGGTTGGAAGAAGAAAGAGACTAGAGAATGAGAAGCAAAAGATCAAACAGGACAGGAGGCCAACTGTGACCTCAGAACTCAAATGGAAACAATTTGGCTTGTCAACCAGAATGGTGTTTGGGCTAGTCTAGCCTTCCTCTCCCAAGGCAGCCCTTGATGGTGTCCAGTTTCTTTAGATCAGAGATGGGGAACCATGGCCCCTTTATGACTTGTGGACTTCAACTCCCAGAATTCCTGAGCCAACATGCCTGATTCAGGAATTCTGGGAGTTGAAATTCAAAAGGCACAAAAGGCCCATCGTTCTCCACCCCCGTTTTATATCATTCTCGTCCCTCTGCTAAACAGACCAGCTCAGGATTGGGAAGGCAAAAAGATAATCCATTGAACATATGGAATGAAGTAACTCTTCCTCCCAAACTTCATATTTCCCAATTTCTCTTCCCTGAAGGTCAATCCTTCCTGTCTTGTAGATCGATGTACAGGTAGTCCTCAATTTACAACCACAACTGAACTCAACATTTCTGTTTCTAAACAAGGCAATTGTTAAGTGAACTTTTCTCCACTTTACAACCTTTCTTGCCACAGTTGCTAAGTAAATCACTGCAGTTGTTAAGTTAGTAGCATGGTTGTTAAGTGAATCTGGCTTCCTCATTGACTTTGCTTGTCAGAAGGTCACAAAAGATCATATGACCCTGGGACAGTGCAACCATCATAAATACATGCCAGTCGCCAAGCATCTGAATTTTGGGAATACGGTCATGTGTAAAATAGCTATAAGTGCCCTGGTAACTTTGAACAGTCACTAAATGAATGGTTGTAAGTTGAGGACCACCCATGTACGATTGAAATCCCATGATTTCCTGCTAAAAATAAGCAGTTCAACCAAAACTATTGAACCTAGTGCAGAGCCTGAATGTCAGTTGTTAGTCCTTTGCCACATTTGTACTATTCCAAAGAAGCAGTGAATAAGATTAAGCCAATTAAAGAAAATCAAGCTAACCGTAACGTGGACTGAGCGTAGATCAATGGAATTGATTAAAATGAGATAGGACGGATAACCACTTAACTCTGGCTAAGTACAGGTAGTGCTTGACTTTTGACCAGAATTAGGACCACAATTTCCATTGCTATGCAAGATGGAAGTTAAGTGAGTCACGCCCAATTTTATTTTTTACCATGGTTATTGGATGAATCCGTGTTTTCCAAGTGAATCTGTCTTCTCTCATCGTCTTTGCCTGGGAAGGTTGCAAACAACTATCACGTGTCCCTGGAATGCTGCAACCACTGTAAATACATGCCTGTTACCAAACATCCAAATTTTGATCACATGACCCATAGGGATACTGTGATGGTTGTAAGGGCGAGACCATCAGGTTCTTTTTGTCTTTCAGCCCCATTGTAACCTTGAACATTCGCTAAGCAAATGATTGTAAGTCGAGGACTGCCTGTACATAATATAATCTCTTTCGCTGCCTAAAAATGGATGCTCAGACATTACGAATTGCTTCTTCAGAAACAGCTAGCCCAAAACCCCACGAACAAAAGCCACATCTCTGAATTTCAAACATGCATTTGTGTTCCTACCCAACACTCTACCAGATTTGGTCATGGGTTTCATCTGGCTGATGTTGGGTCACTCGGTCTTAACCTGACCTATTTCACAAGGTGGTTACAAGGGGGAAAAATGAGAGGGAACTCTACATTTTGTCCTCCAGAGAAAAGATTTTTGAATATATGAGACAAGAAGCATCCAAAGATGAAGTTTCCATTTATTTGGCAATGCAATCCAGGAAAATTTGCAGTGCATAATCCTGCTGTTCATAAAGTTTATCTCTAATATATAAACTATGCAGAAATCACTTCTAATCGATTTTTTTTTATGATGCTTTACCATCCAAATTCTTGAATTACTAGTGGGAGCTATTGATTTACTAAGAAACAAGGCAGGAAGGTTGTGTGTGGCAGGAAGGTTTTGTGTGCATGTGTGTGGGTACAACATGCACGCACGCACGTGCACACGCACACACAAACACACAAACATGTGTCAACTAATCCTTAAACTCCCTGATGTCCTAAGGCAAGAGTGAGGATTTACCCTTTTGTTGCAAGTTTACCTTACAAATTGCAAATGCCTAACTGAGATTGTTTTCCTCCCAGCTAAGGAAAAAAAGGTCACCAGAATCCTGCAAATTAGAGGCAGAGGTTAAACACACACACACCCTTGAACCCCAGTTCTACCCTATAGATGCTCAGTCCTTAACATCCAGGTGCTACACAGCCAAGAAAGTCCCTTGGTATGTTAAGAGTCCTGGCGGCTGGGCCATTTTAAAGCTATAATTAACAACCTGTCTCTATCTCTGTGTGCACATCAAAAGCCTCATCTTCACAAGAGAAATTCTTATCACAAAGTAAAATATTACAGAGAATCCTATGCTTCCTTTACTAATTTTTATTATCACTTTCACCCAGAAACAGACTATCTATGTGGCCATTTAACCAGACAGCTCACCAGAAAGAGTCATTCTGAGATACCAGTAACCTTAAGCAGTTGCTTATTTCCTTTGCTCGTGACATTTCACCCACATTCACCAAAAATGAATTAGATTGGACACAGGGGATACACACACACACGAACACGCTCACACACCACAGGCAACCTCCCTCTCAAAAAACATGCATCCTATAGAACTGAATCAATTCTCTCTCTCTCTCTCTCTCTCTCTCTCTGTGTGTGTGTGTGTGTGTGTGTGTGTGTGTGTGTGTTTCTGTGTGTGTGTGTGTGTGAATTTTAACAGAATGGTTTAACTTGTAGTTACTCTGAATCTTTAATTTGCCTCAAAGCAATCTGCCAAAGCCAATTGATCATTAGCAGAACCACTTTATAGACATTGGAGAAGCAATTTCCAAGTTTGCTTCATAAATTACATGAAGTATTTTTAGGATGCTCCTAAGAATACAAAAATCTCCCAAAATAAGTCTCAAAACAAAACAATACAGTTCATTTCTTTCCCCACAAATGAAGAAAAAAATCACCATTGGGGGAAACACGCATCCTGTTACATGAGAGTTAAAAGGGCTTATTAGAACTGTGATTTCTTTCTTGCAATGCTCTATACTCCTTTAATGATGAAATAAGAGCAGTTATTTAACGTAGTTATCCTTGACTTACAACAGCTCATTTACTGACCATTATGACTATTTTTCACACTCAGGACTCTTGCAGTATCCCCATGGTTATATGATCAAAATTCCGATGCTTGGCAATTGATTCACATTTGTGACCATTGCAGTGTCCCAAGGAGGTCATGTGATCCCCATTTGCAACCTTCTGACAAGCAAAGTCCATGGGAAAGTCAGATTCACTTAACAACCATGTCACTAACTTAACAACTGCAGTGATTCACTTAACAACTGTGGGAAGAAATATCATAAAATGGGATAAAATTCACTTAAGAAATATCTCATTCAGCAACAGAAATTTTGGGATCAATTGTGTTTGTAAGTCAAGGGCTACCTGTATTTGTGGATTGTTCAGATATCAGGAAACTTCTAACCACAATATAATATAAAATATGTTACAGAAAGTTTTTCAAATGATCATGAAGCTAAAAACATGGGACTTTGCTTTTTATATCATAAATTTAAAAAATGCATAACAATATATTGTTTAATCAACTTTTTTACCAACTTATTTAGAAAGAATACATGGATGAATGTGCATTCACAGAAACTATGTTTAACTCTATTTTGATAATTGGAGTAGATAGATAGATAGATAGATAGATAGATAGATAGATAGATAGATAGATAGACAGATAGACAGACAGACAGACAGACAGATAGATAAGATAGCCAGCCAGGGATAGATAGATAGATAGATAGATAGATACTGAAGATAGATAGATAGCCAGGGATAGATAGATAGATAGATAGATAGATAGATAGATAGATAGATAGATAGATATGAAGATAGATAGATACTGAAGATAGATAGATAGATAGATAGATAGATAGATAGATAGATAGATAGATAGATAGACAGACAGACAATTACTCAGACTTATATACTACTTTTGTGTGTGTGTATGTAAATGTAAGTGTGTATGTATCTCTCTCTCACACACACACACACACATACACACACACACACACAGAGTATATGATTTACTGATATGATGCTTTATTCTTTCTTTTTTTTTTTTCCCTAAGGAGGTGAATGATCAAGATAGCCTAACATTTCCACACGAAATATCTGATAGAAGAAGGTATCTCATCTCATGAACAAAAATTATTTTGGCTCCCTTACCCATAAAGTTGCCATGAGAATTGAAGAACTGACAGATATTGTAAAAATCCTTTACACATACCAAGTGCTACGGGGATTATAATGTATAATAATATGGCCACCACCTGCCACATTCAAGAAAATCCTATGCCAAGTATGTTAATTCAGGACTGTTCTAATATGCAGATGAGCTCTGGCCCTCTGGCTCACTGTATTATTGTGATGCAGTCCGCAGTGTGAGCGCCAATTTCTTGCTCCTGGTCCAGTGCCACTTGGCACATTCAGTTGGTCGCGATAGGGAAAAAAAAAAAAACCCAACAAGATAAAGCCTCACTGATGGCAAGCATGCCAACTGATATTTCCCTGCAGTAAAATGGGCAAGATTGCATCAGATGATTGCCAAATCGCTTGATTTGGCAATAGATGGAAAAGGTTAACCGTGAAGATCTCATCCACAGCAGAAGATCTCAATTCACACCCAGAGATGCCCAACACACTTGACCTGCCAGTTGTCTCCTGCAATGCTACAAGCCAGTGTTCTCAACCTTAGCAACTTGAAGACTCATGGACTTCAACTCCCAGAATTCTCTAGCCAGCAATCTGCACATCTTCAAGTTGCTAAGGTTGAGAAACACTGCTACAGACATGAGAGTCCTGCTTCGGGACCTAAACCCACAGCTTCATA